CTGCAAGGTTTTTACAGAATTATTCTTCAAACAGCTTGAAATTACATTCTATGATCTGTACAAAGTTATTAAATCGCCTGTAGTTTTAAACAGTTGATCAGATAACCTGGCAGGGTAGAACCTTCAAGCTAGCCTGAAATAATATTCATTTAATGCTACAACTGACAAGTGTTAAAAACTGACAGCTATTTTTCCAATGGTACAAACATACTTTTATTGTACAATTAATTTATTGGCAAAAAACAATCAGACCACCAAAATAACTTAAAAAAAAAAAACTAATGAAAATGGAGCAACAGTTATTTTTGCTTTTTCTGAACAAGCACTGAACAAAAAAACAAAAAAAGTGGTCAGAGATTCCATCTGAATAGTAAATAGTTAAATATTCTTACTTCCAGTCTCTCTTTAGGAAATAAAAAAGTTTTGTTCAGTTGCCATAAGTTTGTACAGTGATTCAGTATGTTTACAACTATATTCATGTACATAAAACATTTTCTGTAAAGGATGGTGGGACAAACTGTAGGCATCACCACAGCATCTTTCGTACAAAACAAAAACATTTTATCTAATTATTCCTGTAGCTTCAAGTTTTATTTTCAAAAAATAAAATTAAATAATATATCTATTTATAAAAGACAGTTTATCCTTTTTTTCCTTATAAAATAAGTCTCAAGATATATTGCAACCTGGTTTTGATGTGTTCCCTCCCGACACCCAGCCAGTTTACATGGGAGAAAAGCAAACCGTGAGCGTGTGAATCCAGTCCAGTCGTCTCCATGAAAAGCTAAATAACCAAATCTTTTGTCACATTTGTTTTGGCTCCATTATGTGCAGGTTTTGAGTCTAAATTTTGAGACTTAAGGTGGCTGATTTGTTGCAACTTCTCCTTTAAAACCTTGTCAAAAATACAAAGGAAAAAGGCGCATTGGTGCTTGTGACCTACACCCCACCAGCCTACTGTACATTTACAAACAAAAACATATCTCAATACTGTACAGCAGCTCTGAAGCACTTCTGTAGGTTTGCTTTACACAGACGGCACAAGTTCAATCCAAAGAGGGGAAAGATCATTATGTACACATTTTTAAAGTTTTCTTTACAAACATCAGTTTCCTGATTTGTACAAACAATAAATTAAACCTAGTGGCTGAGAGGCAGTAATGGAGAACAAAACGGAAAAAAGAAAAATATAATAAAACGTGTGGGTCAAGAGCACAGGCAGGAAGTTTGAGTAAACAGAGTTGGAACACGCACGCACACGCACACACACACACAGACACGTTACATTTTATCCCTTTACAGTTTTTAGTGGTTGGGGAGTTCAAGGGCAAAAAAAATGCACATTTTCACGAGAACAAAAGGATCTACTTTACAAATATGACCCCTAAAAAACACTGCTCAGGTTCATCTCAACCCGTTAAACAAACACACACACACACACACACACACACACACACACACTTTCAATTAGAAGTGTATTTAAAGGGATCCCTGATTAGTTGTAACAGATTGTATTTGATAAACGCATTTTGACTGTAAAATACTGTAGGCTGTTTAGTTTTTGAAATGTTTAAAAATTGATTTTAACACAGACTGAGCCATTTTATTTCCACACAAAGCATTCTGGGTAAATGATGACGTGGATAGGTCCTCGGTGCGAGGCTGCTAGCGAGC